CCTTTGACTGCCTGGCAAATGGTTTCAGTTCAATGGTTTCAGCTGACAGGCTTTTAACTTACTCCCTGCCACCATTTGGAGTTTAAGGATTGTATGTGCAACCATCTTCTTCGAACAGAACGAGATCATGATCACAGTAGGTAGAATGAGCTTGTAGTAAGTTGCTGATAGAAGCTTACCCTTACCAGAAAGGCTCCGCTGGCTGGGAGAGGAAAGGACTGAAGAAATGGCAGCTAGCGTCCTTGGTTAAAGACAGGATGCCTGCAGTTGATCAGGGCAGTCTGGGAGTAAAGTAGGTGCAGAAGAAGTCCCATCCTTAAGACAGGACTTGCACCTCCAGCTCTTCAAGACAGAGTTGAAAATGTTAACAGGCATTTCATACTACTGCTTTGCCTTCAGGTTACTGAGGGACTGGGAAATGTTTCTGCTTCAGTAGTTGTTGAAACCTCAATATTTAGAAAATGTCTTCTGGGCTTTTCCTAGTGCTTTGCTTTTTTTGTTTGTTTTTTGCTTGGACACTCCAGTGAAGTCAGGCAAGTTATGCTATTTGCTGGTTTTTGAGATTTCATTACCCTTTTGTTTAGGAAAAGCTGTTTGCCTTCTAGGTATTTGCTTTCAGGGATCCTATGTCCTCCGTTACCAGGAGGAGTAGAAACTGTTGGTGGTTTGTTTTTTGGTGGTTTTTTTTTGTTTTCTTAGTGGAAGATTTGGATTTTACATGAGGACACGATTCAAGGAACCAGATTTTATAAAGTCATTACATTTGGCACTGTTCTATGTAGCATTAATCTTTCTTGCTTTTCTGTTCTCTCATTTTCATGTTTTTCCTACTCACTTGCCTTTTCTGCTTGTCCATTTTCTGTGCCGAGGAACTGTTATTTTTTACTTTTCTCCCACTGATGTTAATGTGAAAGAATTCACCTCATGTTCCAGTGTGAGCTTTAAGGGAGCATGCCCTTCTGCGTAAGGGAGCTAGGTGCAGTGCGCTGGGGCCTCCGGTGGGAACAGGCGAGTGTCAGCCAGGACTTACTGCTCATGTGCATAAGCTGCAAATTTGGGTGGTTTTGTCTGTTTAGTGTTGAAATTAAGTCAGACTTCTGCTTTCAAAGAATAAGTCTAGAGCTAAACCAGAAATTCTGGAGGTTTCTTTGAGCAGTGTTGTGAACTGTCTGTGGGTGATAGTTAATGATATGTTCCTACCCTTGACTAATGCTTCCTTTTGTTAAATACTCCTTTTATTCTAAAGTACCACTTTTTCCTTCTTTTTCATCCCCCCTTCTGACTGTCATTTGTTTCTGGAGTCTGATTTCTGTGCCATTTACAGAGCATCAGTCCTTCTGCCGCTACAGTGGTTCTCTTGCGCTTCCTGTTCTGTTTCTCTCTTGCTGAGAAAATGCTTGTGATGGGAACAGAACTGGGGAAAACGTGGATCCAGCAATTCCTGTGAAATGCTTTCTGACAACATAAGATTTTTTTTCTGTGTTAGGATTCATTTTTGACTTATTAAAAACTGTTGTATTTTTGTCTGCTGTTACGGAATGTTGTGTGGCCTGACAAACTTGGAGTTGTCATTAATTATTATTTTTCTTGCCAAATGTATGCACAGTTTTCAGCAATTAAATGTGTTCATTCAGCAACTTGAAAGAATTAAAACTCTTTTTGCGTCGTCTTCCCTTCTCCCCTTAGTTCATGCAATGGAATTGTCCTCTCCAAAACATAAAACGAACATAGCTTCTGTAGTGATCCAGACAAAATTGTATTTCAGTTAAGGCAGGGGTGTGTGAGGCTGTAATTTACGGTTTTGTTGCTCTGTACGTTAGCATTGCAGTAATGCAACCCGAGGGCACTACAGCAGTTTCCAGTCTGCTGTTGCACAGGCTGCACAAGTACCATCTACTAGAAGAGCTGGTGTGGGTATTCCCATAGAGAAATGTTCAGTGCTCATGCATTTAAAGATTGACTTTAGCTTTATTTAAGATCCTTTATCGTGGTTAGTGCCTTCAGTAAAAGGGCAGGAAAAAGCGATTTTGTGTCTTGTTCAAATAAGTAATGCTATAGTTGTCATAAATACTGTTTTTATTAGCTCAGCACAGTAATTATTAAAACCCTGTCTACATTCTTTCACATTATCCAGGAAGTTGTTCTACAATAGTTGTTTCTATTGGAAGTGGGGGCAGAAATGAAGTAATCAAACTGTGTCTCTCTAGTGCTTGCAGAAACCAGATCTCACCAGTGGCACAAAGGACAAGGAATATAAGCCACACGATATTCCGCAGAGACAGTCTGTTCAGCCATCTGAAACTTGTCCACCTGCTCGTCGAGCAAAACGCCTAAGTGCAGAGGTGAGATCTTCTGTCTTTGTAGGGCGAATGCTCTTTGGTGACCCAGCCTGAAACTGTACTGCAGTCATAATTTGCCTAGCCACATGGCACAACAGGTTTTAGTTAAGTTACAGGAGGAATGTTACTTCCCTCACACTGCTGAATGTATATGCAGAGTAAACAGCTGTTTAACCCTTTCTTTGTCATTGTTAAATGTATCTAAATGTTTTAAATGCATAAATTTATAAATAATATGGTAAGGATTGTGTGGCACTTTAAAAAGTGTGTTACTGGGGTTTGGAGCTCTGAGAGGCTCTTCCACCGAACCTGTTCCACTTATACATTAGTTATGAGAGTTATAATACTACGTTATAATAATTTTTTTTAGCATGATTTTAAAGAATATGGGGCTCATAGATTAAAATACAGGTAACAAATTCTAGAAATGAAGCTTGTCTTCTACAGTTTTCATCTTTCACGTTTGCTCAGAGGACAGCCAGGGGACAGTATTTATTCTTTAAATGTGTTGGGAGGTTTTTGTAAAGCTTTCATGAGAAGAAGCCAGATGTTTGAGCAGAGGTGGTCTTTGTAACGATGTTAGCATTGTTGTATTTCTTTTTTACTGAGTTCTGTCAATTTTGGAATACTTGGACCATGCAATATAAGGAAAAAATTGCGTAATATTAAGTCAATTTGGTTTTGTGCAATCAAACAGGATTGATCTTGCATGTGCTTAAGAAATAATATATATTTGGATAAGCACAAAATGTATTGACTATATATGCATAGAGTTCTCCTGTGAAGAATATTTTAGGAGATCGTGATGTGTCTCCTTCGGTGCTGGTAAAACTAATACTGTGACTTCAGTCTCCCCAGACTGATGTTGCTGCCTTCAGAGAGTTTACTATTTCTTTTATTTGAGCAGATGAAGGAGGCTTATTCCCAGGAGACTGTCTTATTAGTGTTGACATCATGAGTTAGGAAGGTCATGATTGACTCTCTTTGTTTATAATCCAGATTTCTGTTTAAGTTTGGTTTTGACTCTCTATTAACTCCGTCGTTGTAGTCTTAGTCTTTATTATTACCAAGTATAGCTTAGTTGTTGCAAATTCTGCCTATAATTATTCTTAGTTAGTAAGTTACAATTAAGGCTTTTTAAAGCTTTTCCACTCAAATACCTAGTTGCAAGTAGGTTTCTAATTCTGAGAAAGCCTTAGTAGTTTGATCTGGAACTTCCCATCTGAAGTACCTGCCTGTGGTTGAAAGAAGCTAGTTCTCACATATCCTTTAAAGATTAACAGTGGGGCTAATACGTACTAAAATTTTAGTCGTTTGTCTGACAGTGCTGTCAGATGACACTGACTAACAAAGAGTGCACGTTTGAGCAGTTAGTTTCCACAGTGCACGTTTGAGCAGTTAGTTTCCACAAAAAAAGACAACTTGGCAAAAATGCAAGGCTACCCTC